AGATGAGGGTTAGATGATTTCAGGCTTTCTCCTAAGGTCTGGATCCATCCAGGACCGATTTTGGCCTCAGGAATTTGGGGGTTGGACTGGCCTGGGAGACTGGCCCAGAAAAGATGCTGGTCTAGGGCAGCTTGGTGGCCATGCCACCCAGAGATGCAAAGGCAGGCTGGAAGAGGCCCCAAGGACTCCTGGGGACTGCACTGAGGAGCTGGGTTGGTCTGGATGCAAAGGATCACGAATAGGAAAGGTCAGCTCCCAAGTCCTAGAAAGAGGATGGCAGGTGGTGCAGGCCCAGGGAAGCAGAGGTAGGTGAGTGCGGGGCCAGGCCCAGAAGCAGTGATCCTAGGGCCCAGAGAAGGCACTAAGTTGGTCTGGATGAAAGGGGTCAGGAAATAGTATTGGTTCCCCAGGTGTCTGGGGCCCCAAGACAAGAAATGGGACAGGATCCAAACTAGGAGAGACCTGCGGGGGAGATGGGAGGGTGAATGGGCCTGGGGGAGTCAAGGCTAGGAGGGAAAGATGGACTTACCTCAGAGAGAGGCCTGAGGGTGGGAGAGAGGCCTGTGGCGGGTGGTGCAGGCCAAGGGAAGCAGAGGTAGGTGAGTGCCAGGCCAGGCCCACAAGCAGTGCTCCTGGGGTCCAGAGAAGGCACTAAGTTGTTCTGGATGAAAAGGGTCAGGAAGCAGTATTGGTTCCCCAGGTGTCTGGGGCCCCAAGACCAGGAATGGGCAGGGCCCAAACTCGGAGGAGAGATGGGAGGGTGAATGGGGCTGGGGGAGGTGAGGCGCAGAGGGAGTGATGGACTTACCCCAGAGAGAGGCCTTTGGTATTCTATGACCTTTTGCAAGCAAGAAAGCTCAGAACAAAAGCAGAAATATTTGGTTAGCAATTTAGCAAGGCTTACACAAACTTTACAGCGTAACGGAAAATCTTGAGAAAAATCTTTTGGATAAAATCTCATGACACTATGGTCAGCTAGTTTCTAGAAACTCATTTTACAAGTCAAGGTTTGCTGATTTTTAAAAATACTATTTGTGATAGAATAGGAACATCAATCTTACTTTAAACATTAAACCCCAGAAAAACAACCCTTTTACCTTAGCTGAAAAAGTTAGACTAATGATTCAACTCATATTAAAAATATTGAAGGGAAAAACCAGGGAAATTACTGAAGTCAAAGGAGGTCAGCAAGGCGTCAGCCTCTAACACCCAGGGCTTTGTACATGCTAGGCAAGTACTCTACCAACTGTGCTACATTCGCCAATCCTAGAAAACTTTCTTAAAATTGTTGAGGTGTTAGATTTCTTCAAAAACTGTTCAGCTGAGTGTGGTGGCCCATACTTATAACCCCAAGCACTTGGGAGACTGAGACAGAAGGATTTCAGTGAGTTGAGAGTCAGCCAGGGCGGCACAGCCTAAGAAACAGAGAGACTCTGTATCAGAAAAAGAGAACAGGGGGAGGGGAGGGGGAGACGAAAGTAGAGGAAAAAGAAGGAAAGGAGGGGGATAAAAGAAAATTCTCTGTCAGTGTTATGTTGTGTTGTCTTTGTCATTAGCCCCTGGCTAGGCTAAGTTTTGTTGCTACTAGGAGGAGGGTTGGTTGGTTTGTGTGTGTGCCATAGATCAATGTGTTGTGAGCCATTCAGTAACTCTATAGGGTAGGATAATTAAGGAAACCTAGGCCAAGCAGCACATTTGATTGAACTAAAATCATAATACAAAATTGAAGTAAAGGGACTTGTTTTATTCTGTCAACCTTGGTGAACAGGTCTATAATAAGATGTTTTTTAATTGTGAGATATATTTAACAAAATTTATATTTTAGTCACTGTAAATGCACAGAAAACTTTTCTAGGCATCACCTAGTGTTCCTTAGTGTTTAGTACATTTCACAAAACATAATAAAAGAAAACATGACCATAGTAAGTTTCTTAAAGAACAAAACCTGATTAAACCCCATTAGACAACTTAACCTATAAAATAAAGCAAGAAAATTAAATTTTCACAGGAGACTTTAGGCAGAGGCATAAGCTAGGAAGAAGTAAGTCTCCATAAACTTTTCACATCTTGACTAAATTTAGCCAAACCAAGATTTTTACAAAGGTCAGAGTTTAAACTTCAACTACATAATATATAGCAACATAAAACTAAGGTAGAATTTTATAATGCTATAGAAATAACAAACCCATAAAATGCTGATAAAAGTATTTTTGATTGAAAACTTTTCTAGGCATCACCTAAATTCAAGAAGTTACCACTTGATTTGCAAATGGCCTAGTTGTTGGTCATTTTACCCGCTTGTAACTCACATGTATAACCTGGCTGTGTAGCTAAGGTGAGGTTTAGCCATCGCATTCCCAGTCTTCTGGTAGCATTTGAAAGGGAGATTTCATGTTAGTAAGTTTTCATTTTCACTTTTTATTTTGTGCTTAGCTTTATTTTAGTACTTTGCATTCTCTAAACTGTTAACTTAAATTCATTTCATTTTGAAAAGTCTAACTTAAGTTTGGCTTATAGCTTAATGCTTTAATCTTCAACATAAGATAGTTACTACCTTCTCATCCAGGCAAAAGTGTGTGTGGTCCATCTTCTACAGTGAAGTTATAATGCCTTTCAGAAGTAGAAAAACACTAAGGTGAGATGAACCTGTATGGTGCTTAGTTTTTAGGCTATTCCTGAGGAGTATGGGGCTCTGTTTGCTTTTAGAGTTGAAAGGGTGGGGAGAGAGGGAGGGAGGGACGGACGGAGGGACGGAGGGAGGGAGGGAAAATCCTAGGGTTCTCTAGATGGCTCAGAGGATAAAGGCAGTTGCTGCTCAAGCCAGATGACTTGAGTTCAATCCCTGGGACCCATGTAAAAGTGGAAGAAGAGAACCAACTCCACAGATTTGTCCTCTGACCTCCACACATGCTTGATGGCATGTGTACCCACATACACACACATCATGCACACACACAATAATGATAAGTAAATAAGTAACTTTTAAATCCTGCTCTCCTGTCCTCCTCCTCTTCCAGGCTTCTCATTCTTTCCCTGTTTATGCTTGAACCTCCTCCTTCCCAAGTTCCATTTGTTAAATGGCTAAACTGCCAGCTGATAGTTCCCATGTGGCAGCTGTAGCTGGAGATGACTCAGGAAACAGGCCTCATGCATTTTCTCAAGGGCTTTTTCTGCCTCAATAATGCAGGAGGAAGCAGCATTTCTCATCTAGAGCCACATGCATTATCTCACACAGCTCCTCGGGGAGGCTCACAAATATTACTTCTCCCTCCTGACTCCCCACACTTCCTGAGCTCTAAATGATGAAATTTGCTCCTCAGGACCCCAATGCCAAAGTCGATTCTATATATGCATCACAGTTGTATGTGGGTGCATGTATATTCATGTAGATGGGGGCACATGTTTGGGGGGGTACATATGTATGTACAGGTGCATGTGCACAGGCATATACATGGATGTGGAGGCCAGAGGACAACCTCAGGTGTCATTCACAGATGCCATCTGCCCACCTTGAATTTGACTCAAGGTCTCTCATTGCCTAGAGCTTACCCATTCAGCTAGGCTGGCTGGCCAGCTGGCCCCTGGGGATTCTCTCTAGTATCTCCCTCCTCAGTACTGTAAGTAGAAAGGCATGCTACCACTCCTGGCTTTCCCCCCCCCCTTGGGATCAAACTCAGGTATGAAGATCAAACTCAGGGCCTCATACTTGCCAATTGAAATATTTCAATAGCATCTTCATTCAGGACTTAGAACACAGCACTCATGCCTGCATATAAATTAGCATTCACATTTTTTTAGCATTCATTTTTAAAATGGAATTCCTAATCTTTTCTAAGATCATTTAATTTCTACTCCTAAAATTGACTTGAAATCTTTGGACAAATGTTTATAAAATGCAGGATTCATTTTTTTATTATCTGCTGGCTATAATTAAAATCACCAGAATCTACCCAGATGTAAAACATTAGGTAATTCTGTACGTATTCACCCCTGCCTGCCAATTCCTTTCTGAAGTCATTTTTAACTACTTAGTTTTTCCTCCTATATGTCAAGGCCCTCATCATCCATCAACCCTTCTTGCCTACTTCTCTTTTATTTATTATTTTTTGACAGGGTCTCCTATAGCCCCAGCCCACCTGGAACTTGCTATGTAGACCAGACTTGCCTTGATCTCACAGAGACCCACCTGTAAAGGTGTGTGCCACCATGCCTGGCATTCATGCTTCTCAACCATGTACCTTGATCACAGTGCGTTATAATCATGTTTCTCTCCATCAGCTTCTTAGCTCTTTCAGGATAGTCACCATATTTTTGTTTCTGTTTTTGTCTTGGTGTCTGACAGACATTGGGTATCACTGTTTCCCTCAAATTTAAAACCTCCCCTGGCACCCTGGGGCAGCTTGGCACATTGTTTGTGAACCACAGTTACTGAATGCTTGGGAAAGCATTGACTACATAGCGATGGACAGCTTTTTGGAGGAAGTGACATTTGAGTTATGAATGATGAGACAGGGCAGCAGCTGCATATCTAGGGTAGAGTGTTTCAATCCAAAGGAGGGTGCTGTGAGGTTCTGGAATAGAGAAAGGGAACAGAGATTGAGATGAGAGGGTCAGGTAAGGCCCAGTCATGGAATCTAGACCCACAGTCTTTGAGAAGAAAGCCTGGTTTTCTTTCTAAGGTTAAGGGAAAGAACATAGTGAGATGTCTGTTTTGAAAAGGTCACCTGGTTCTCACCAGTGGACCACCATGGTACAGAAAAGTTGGAAGGAATGAAGCCACATGGGAAACCAGTGCAACTTGTCTGTCCGGAGGATAATGCAGATGAGGACTCCTGGCCTGTTCAACAGTAGCTTGTGCTGTGCTTGGTGCAACTTGGTGGCTGCTCAGTAAGAATCTGGAAGTCATAATAAAATGTCTCCACAAGAGTGGTGTTGCTTCTGCTCCATCATCATTCATTGTTCCGTCTTTATTTATAAAGATTCTGTGTCTTTATTTCCAGGATCCTGAGAGTGTTTCTAAAGTTCTCTGGCTGGATGAGATACAGGAAGCCATCGATGAGGCCAACAAGGACAAAAACAAAGCGAAGCGATGTAAGCTCTGCCCTCTTTTGCTGAACCAAATCTACCTCACTTGTGTTTAGATATGTGCCTAAGGTCATGTCACTTGATTTCTTAAAAAGATTTGAATACTGGGGCTGGAGAGATGGCTCAGTGGTTAAGAACACTGACTGTTCTTGTAGAAGACCCAGATTCAGATCCTAGCACTCACATGGCAACTAACAACTGTCTGTAACTCCACTTCCAGGGAAATCAGATTCCCTCTTCTGACTTCTGAGGGCATTGTACAACATGGGTGCACTTACATATGTGCAAGCAATACACTCATACACATAAAACAAAAATAATATATATTTTTTAAAAAAAGATTTGAATACTTTCCAAGTTTCAGTTCTTGGGTTTATATTTAAACAAAAATATCATTAGCTGCTTGCCCTGTTTCCAGTGATTAGGTCTTGTCTCCAACAAAATTTGACAATGTTGCCAAACAATATCCAGATAGTAAAAATGTCTTGTAGGCTCTCAAATTTTATGATGAAATTGGTCCATTTTTTTCTTGATCCATAGAAAAGTAACTTATTTCTGCTCAATAAATGTCAGAATAGCAAGCCAGGAGGCAGGGAGAGAGGGAAGGAGACAGGAAGTTATATAGATATTTATTTGAAGGAATTGTCCCGCCAGACTATGGAGGTTAGTGAGTAGAAAATGCAAAGGCCAAGCTGGCAGAAGACGGTATCTGTTTAAACACTAAGGACAAGTGGGAGTGGTTACTGTCTAACAGTGCAGTCTGAGTCCTAACGGAAATAGGCCAAATCAGAGATGATGGAATTGGGTAACTGATAATTCTAGAAGCGGAATCGACTGGTAGTTACTAAACTCTCCCTTAAGTTGTGCAAATGGAAGAGTTCTAGGTCAAGTAAAGAGAAATGTAACTTGAATCATAAAAACAGAGTCACTGCCCCTGAATTCCCATTTTGGAGCCTGCTTTCAAACCTAGAGGCCCTTAGAATAAAAGAGAGAGGCCAGGTCCCCTTGAGGCAGGATGTCACTTCACTCCCCAAAAATAGTGTTGTCAACCTGTTTCCTAGCCTTCCCAGAAGGACCAATAGCCCACCTCCAGGGCGACCACTGGAGAAAGAAGACATAAGCAGATGTTTTTTCAGGGATGCTAGCTCTGTATAAACTCTAATCTCCACAAACTCTAAATGTCACCATTTTTATCCAAGAGCAGGGGCTTTTGAAAGTCAGGTTATCTATGGAGTTTCAGTTAAGATTCTTCTCCTAGGGGGCCTAACAGGTCTGCAAACACGTCCTGTGCTTCCCCAGTTCCAGAATGCACAACTGGAATAGACACACTCAAACACAAGGCTTTATTTCCTTAGCTTGGAAAACTGTATTTATCTAAAGTGAGCTTGTATGGCCTTGGGAACTGTCTTTGCTGTTTACCACTCTAATACTTCAGAGGGGAAAAAAAAACATATATGAGAGTGCTACATAAGAGATTTAAATTTACATATAAACTGAAGACAGCCACGGTCTGAAGAGGTCCTTTAAAGAAATTAGATTGTGGACACTCAGCCTAAAATACGTGTGACTTCTTTCTTGAAGATCTAGCTAATTTAGAAGTTATTTTATTCATTGTCTTCCTTGTATGTGGTCTGCAAATGTTGGTTCTGTTTTTCACTTGGAGACTCATAGTCTGCTGATAGAAAAGTAAGAAGTTTCTCAAATGTGAATGGTGTTGCACTCTCTGCTGCACATCTGAATCCCTCTGTCCTCCCTGAATCCTGTCCAACACTGCAAGATTTTTTTTTTTTTTTTGTAATTATGGCTATCGCTAGTCAGACATTGAAATGCGAATTTTCTGGGTTTCCAGCAGGAATTTAATCTGACTTTTAAAAGCATTCTTCCTCCTTGCGTGAAGATTAAAACAGACTCTGGTCATATATCCTCAATATCCCAGATAATTTAGCAAAGCGCATTGGCTCATGTGTTTCGCCCCAGGCAAGACTGAAAAGGGCAGAGAAACTAAGTTGCCGTTGTTTTGGCTCAGTGTTCGTCTTCAGTGGTATCTTGTTTCCTTCGTGTGAGTTTCCCTCATCCATCGAATCCTCGAAGCAACATTTCTCAACCTTTTTATAAAAAAATCATTGCACCCTGAGGAGTCTTAAATAATTTCTCCCTAATCTCTTCTCATCCTGACATTATAGTACCACAGATATGTTGTAGATCTATTTGTGTAACATATGTAGATTTATGCTTTATACATTAAAGAACCAATTTTTGGCCCTTGTGAGAGTGTATGTATTAGAGAGAGCTCACTGGCCCACCTGTAGCTTAAGATGTAAAGCAAACATATTTTTAGGACTCTTAGGAGGTTTGCTAAAATTCCTCTTGGGAGGCACTGACAAAGTCTGGCTCCCACCTTCCTTGGTCCTACAACAAAATGAGGTATACAAATTTCCAAAAACCGCAGTTTGGAAAATCCTAGCAAATTTATTGGGCTTACTAACAGAGAAGGGGATGGAGGGTTCCTTACAGAAGACTGGGTGCCCCACCATTTAAGGCTGCACCAGAAAGTCCACACCTAAGCATAGATAGATTCTGTAACTTCCCAGCAGTCACACAAAATGGCAAGAGGCAGACCTCATGGCCTTTTTCACTTATATATCCTTAGTCCCTCCCCCTCATGCAGCTAAGGCTGACTGATTGGGTGGGAAGGGTAACTGACTCCCCCCGACCCTCCTTTTCTTACAGAAGGTCAACAGTCAAGTTTATAATCCTAGACAAACAGGTGCAACCAAGCTCGGGAAGAAGGTGTGACTATAGCTTGCCAGTTTAGTTTGGCAGTCTGAGGGTACTTCTATGCAACAACATATTTCTTTTTTTAAGATTTTATTTTTATTTTATGTGTATGAGTGTTTTGCTTGCATATATGTAAGTAGACCATGTACATGCCTGGGGCCAGCAGAGATCAGAAGAAGGCATCAGATTCCCTGGAACTGGAGTTATGGATGGGCACTAGCTACCATGTGGGTGTTAGGAAACAAATCCAGGTCCTCAGCTAGATCAGCCAGTATTCTTGACTGCTGAACCATTTCTCCAGTCCCGTATAAGAGGTTTCTTAATCTGTTCCTCAGTGGAAATGTACTTGACTTTCTTTAGGTCAGTTATCTGATGTCTTCTCCCATCAGAGACCCAACCACAACCCACAGAGTAAGCAACAAAGCCATCAGAATAGATGTTGCATGTCCTGTGCATTGGAGCTGATCTGTTTTCCTTACTAGAGACCCCTGGGGCAAACACCTGAGCCTGTCTACTCTTCCTATAGGCATAATTCTAATGTCCATGGCTGTTTCTCTTCTCCACTGTGAGCAGAGTAGAAGTCACAAACTCCAAGACATGAAGAGTTGGGCTGCCCCATGCAGGCACAAAGATATTAGTAGGAAATGATACTGAAAAGCAGAGGAGTTTGAGGCCATGTAGTCCTGGAGCCAATAAGCCCTAACATTCCATGTCCTTGAAAGTATTACTTGCTGTCTACTGCTTAGTACAACTCAACAGATAGTAAGCACCTACTGTGTACCCCAGACTGTGAGTAAATTGAAGAGCAATTATAGCACCTCTGTCAGGGGTTCTTCAAGACCTGTTTTAGATTTTCACGGAAAACAATTCCAGTTGATACTGGAAATCCATCTGTGGGCCAGTTCCTTCTCTTCAGTATCCAATTACTGTATTCAAGAGTGTACCTGTGTAATACATCTTTTAAGGAACATTACAGTTTGGTGTGTTAGTTCAGTACAACCATCTGAGGTAATTCATATGGGAATTCTTCTTTGTCACTTATTCTGCTTCTCTGAGACCACAGACTTTGCAGATGTCAGCTCTTCATCCCACAGAGCTTTCCTGGAAAAGAGGAAATGGGGGGTGGTTCAAGCCAACCAGTGTTAGCCTCGATAAGCATAGAGCAAGAGCTCTCTGTATCTGTTGTTCAGCAGTCAGTGGAATTTGCTGGAGAAGTTCCTTAGTAGTGTTTGTGAATGCCTCTGGATTCATAGATTTGACTCCAAACTGGCAAACAGCAGCCCATTTTTCTTCTTCCTTCAGCTGAATCTATGCATAGTATCATGCATAATATAAGCACACATGAGCATAATTTGATGACAACAGTCTATTTTTGTTCTAGTTTCATTCTATTGCTGTAATAAAACACTCTTTTGGAAACAACTTAGGAGAGGAAAGTGTTTATTTGGCTTACACTTCCAAGTCTCAAGGCATCACTGAGGGAGGGCAGGGCAGGAACCTGGAGGCAGGAACCATGGAACGCTGCTCCTGGCTTGCTCTCTGGCACATGCTTAGCTATCTGCCTAGGGTCGGTGCCACTCACAGTGTGCTGGGCCCTCCTGCATCATATAATCAAAAGAATCTGCCAGTGACATGCTCACTGGCCAATCTGATCTAGGCAATTCCTTAATCAAGCCTTTACTCGCAAATGACTCTAGGCTGTGTCAAGTTGACAGTTAAAGTTAACTAGAACACTCCATCCCTTGTCAAACTGACACAAAACACATCACTTTTAAACTATAAAGTTCCTCTCACTGATCTTCAGGGTCTCATATTAATATCATAGTATAAAACAGTCTAATTTAAAAGTTCCACAGTCTTTAAAAATTCCAACACTTTAAAAATTCAATGTCTCACTAAAAGCCCAAAGTCTCTTACAAAGAAACAAGTTAGGGGACTGGAGAGATAGCTCAGTGGTTAAGAACACTGGTTGTTCTTGAGATCAAAGCCAACCAAAATCTAGCAGTGTAAGTCCAAATTCTGTAGCTTAGCGTCCAACATCTAGGACTCACTCATCATCTTCTGGCTCCAAAGGGCTTAGACAGTCCCACCTCCCTAGCTCTTTCATCTTCAGCACGCACAGCTTATCCTATAGACTCAGGCCAGTTCTACTCCAGGTTCATATCCCAGCACCCACATGACAGCTAACAACTGTCTGTAACTCCAGTTCCAGGGAATCCGAAGCCCTCTTCCGACCTCCCGTGGCATTGCATGACACGGGAGCACTCACATACATGCAGGCAATACACTCATACACATAAAATAAAAATAATAAAATATTTTTTTAATAAGTTAAATACTTCTTACTCCAAGAGAGACTAACCCAGGCATAGGATAAATCAGATCAAAGCCAACCAAAATCTAGCAGTGTAAGTCCAAATTCTGTAGCTTAGCGTCCAACATCTAGGACTCACTCATCATCTTCTGGCTCCAAAGGGCTTAGACAGTCCCACCTCCCTAGCTCTTTCATCTTCAGCACGCACAGCTTATCCTATAGACTCAGGCCAGTTCTACTCCATACCTGATGCTCTCCTTGGTGGACACCCCATAGTCCTGACATCTCTAGTATACTGAGATTTCCACTACAACTGAGGCTTTACCTTCACCAATGGCCTTTCCTGGCTGCTCTTCAGAAGCTTCTACCCTGCCACATGTGGCAGGCCTCAGCTTCTTTCCATGACCTCTTCAATCTTGTAGCTTCCATCACTTCAAAACCAGTACCATCTGGGTGACTCTTGCATATTGCCAGCTTGAGATGTATCCTTGGTCCCCTTGGACCACAGCTTCTGTGTGCTGAGTATTTCTGTATTGTCCTAATGAAGCACAGAAGATTCACCTCAGTAGTGCTGATTAATCACAACTGATTTTTCAGCTCCAGCTAACTGGCATCCATTTCCCAGTCTCTTGTTAATCATAATCCTTCAGCCCCAACTGACCAGCAAATCTTAACCACAGACTCTTAATCCAAAATATCATACAAATGGCCCTGATAGAGTCTTTGCTTCCCTTCATAATCTCCTAAGCCAGACCTCCATTTTCCACATCTCTCTCAGCATTAGCTTCTGAATCCTACAAAAACAACTTTTAAGCTCTAAGTACTCAATGACTTTTGCAATTCAGAGTTCCAGAATCCTCCAACATCCTCCATAAAAAGCCACATGGTCAGGTCCATCACAACAGTATCCCATTTCTTGTACCAATTTCTGTTCTAGTTTCATTCTGTTGCTGTGATAAAACACTTGGATCCAAAACAATTTAGGAGAAGAAAGGGTTTATTTGGCTTACACTTCCAGGTCACACTCCATCATTGAGGGAAATCAGAACAAGAACCTGAGAGACAAGAACCGTGGAGGAACTCTTCTTGCTGCCTGGCTCTCTGATTCCTGCTTAGCTAGCTTTCTTATGCAAGCTCAGGACTACCTGCCTAAGATTGGTGCTGCCTACAGTGTACTGGGTCCTCCTGCATCCATTAATAATCAAGATCATCCCTACAGACATGCCCACAGGCCAGTCTGATCTAAGAAATTCCTCAATCAAAGCTCCTCTTCTCTAATGACTCTAGGCTATGTCAAGGTGACTATTAAATCTAATTAGAGTGGCCGCTTAACACTTGCTAGAGTCTGGCATATATGTAGAAGAAAAATCTCTCCCCTTTCTTTTCATCAAAATTCTTTCTAAAACCTGGAAAATTTGTTGTTGTTGTTTTATTCTTCATTTATTTGTTTGTTTATGGTTTTTTTTGAAACAGATGTCACTATGTAGCACTGTCTGGCCTGGAACTTGCTATGTAGACCAGGCTAGCTTCAGACTCACAGAGATCTACCTGCCTCTGCTGGGTTTAAAGGCATGTGCCATCACACCTCAATTAGAAAGTATTTTAGCCTGGCTTCTCTTTATTTTTCCCTATATTCCTAATTCTGCATTTACAGGTTATAAAAATGATTCCACTGGTTAGGCCAGAACATTCTTACCTGGAACGAAAGTAGATGATAATAAAGAATGTATTACTTTTCTTTAGGCAACTAAAAGTTTAATACTATTTTTTATGAGAAGGGGCAAAAATTTGAAAGGCTTCTTAGTTTAAATTGATACAAAATTAAGTTTCTGGACTCCATTGCACATATCTATTTACTGTGCCTTTCAAGAACATTTCCTTAGGTCACTTCTGACAAACTTGCCAAATACACTAGCATATACAAGAGAATTTTAGGATTTCTATAGCTTAATTAGCATTTTACTTACTCTAAAATACATGTCTTCATAAAGCTCATCCTCAAATATGAGCTGACGATGTAGATTGGGGCTGCATTGATGGGTATTCACCGCCCATTGATGGGTATTCACTCCACGTCATAGATTATACTGTAGTAAGCATCGCCTAGTCAGCCCTCAACACAAGGATAACCAAGAGGTATTAGAGTTTTAACACATCACACTCCTGTAAACTTTCTTATAACCTACACTAATAGGTGAATTGGTGATTGACTAGGTAACATGTGGTACAGACTCTCGGTACAAAGGTTTAATACTAAAATACTAATGCATTCCTAGATGGTTGAATTATGTATTCGTATACCTTCTATAAGTAAAAGATGATGTTTGAGGTGTTTGAGGCTGGAGAGATGGCTCGGCGGTTAAGAACACTGGTTGTTCTTGCAGAAGACCCGGGTTTGAATCCCAGCACCCAAATGGCAGCTAACAACTGTCCGTAATTCCTGGTCCAGGGGATACGACAGCCTCTTCTGTCCTCTGAGCATTGCACAACACACTGCACAACACCAGTGCACTTACCTACATGCAGGTAATACATGCACACACATTAAAAAAAAAAATAAATAATGGGAAGATATGGGAAGAGTTGGAGGGGAGGGAGTGGGCATGGATTTGATCAAAACACCTTATATGTATGCATGAAATTCTCAAATTATTTAAAAAAATTTTTTTAAGACAATACACGCATACACATAAAATAAAAATAATAAAATATTTTTTAAAAAGATAATGTTTAATAAAAACCTTTTTTTTCCTCACCCAGGGATTGCACTGGTCATTGATGTCAATCAGTGTTTGGATAGAAAAAATTCAGATGATATCTTGTCTATTTTGAAGTCTTCTAGTACTAATATCCATGACATAATCCCAGAATGTGCCAACAAGTACTATGACAACCTCATGAAGGCAAAAGAGTCCAAGTCTAAAAATGGTGAGCTTTTCCATAACTTAGCACAAACTAATGTCTTTTAAAACATGCTGGTTCCTGTGCATTGTATCTGCTTAGTTGAGACAAGTATTGCTTTCACATCAACATTTCTGAAAATTTTATCATTGATGGCAAAGGAAACAGTTTTAGTTTTTTTAAGCTGTGATTTTCTCAGTGGCAACACATGGAGGGTAGCATCACAGAACTGAAAAAATGCAAGCATCCTTCTGCTAATGATTGCCATCAGTCATTAGATACATTCAGGAGACAAATGACGCACAATCACACAATACTGAGCAGAAGATGTGAAGCAGGAATGGATAAACAAAATGTGGCAGATCCACACACTAGGACGCTGTCAGCCACGGAAAGGAGTGACGATGCACGCTGCAGCATGGCTGAACTTGGAAAACCGTATGCTCAGTAAAAGGAGACAGATAAAAAGACCAACCACAGGGCCAGCAAGATGATTTAGTGGATAAAAGCATATGCCATGCAAGCCTGACGACCTGAGTTTGATCTACAGAACTCACAGTAGAAGGAAGGAATGGGCTCCCAAAAGTTGTCCTCAGATGTTCACAATATGCCATGGCTGAGTTCCAGTTCAAAAAAGGTGAATGGTACTTGAAGCATAAATGTCAATGCTGTCCTCTGGCCACCATCACACACACACACACACACACACACACACACACACACACACACACCACAGACCCATAGATGAATAGCTGTCTGACTGCCCATTTGAAGAGAGAGCAGTCTCTTTCTGAGCACTGACAAGTAGAACACTTGAGGACTATTTAAAACCCAAAATGAATCAGCACTTAATATGACCTGAAGTTACTTCTGTTTAGTTCTTTGAACATATTTAAATATTTTATGAAGAAAGGCCACTGAAGCTTTAATTTACTTGGGAAGGCAGTGAGTCCACTGGACACTTAGCAGTTGGCTTACTTTAGTGGGAACATTTCAGTGTTTGGGGTAGTTCTTAGGTGTCTGGTCTGAGTATGCCATGATGTACTGCCCTGAGATTCATGAGGAAGAGACATTCTTCTTGAGCAACTTAAGCCATGACTGCCATTGAATTTTGTATCCTGTCCACCCACATCAAGTCCTTTCTCCATGTTTCCCTCATTTTCTGTGGTTGTTTAGAGCAACATGAGGTGGATGAGGGATTTTCTTTTTCTCAACCTTCATTGACTTTTGTGATATGCATTTTCCATTTTGTAATTTGAGTGAAGTTAAATCCAGAAATGATTCACCTCCACTTTGGTTGATGCAGATCATCACACCCCACCCCTTAACTATTGGTCACAGTTCTCGTAAGTCACTTCTTGTGGGAGAAAGTCCTGGCGGGCTTCATGAGCAAATAAAATCCTGCTCATCAGTCTCCTCTGTCCACTTGTGGGAGTGTTCACATCTACATGTGATATGCATTCCTTGTCTGCCTTTGCTTCTCTTTGGCCATTTTTGACTCATCATCCCCATGAAAAAAATGGACCCCAGAGCTCATATTGTTTTCTTTGACTTAGCAGGGACTTACCATTGAATACATGAGATTCGTTCCATCTTACTGTGTCATTTCAAATGACTGTAATATAGACCAACTGAATGCTTGGTAAAAATGTATTTGTTAGATTTTTTTTTTTTGGTCTTTTTGAGACAGGCTCTCCCTGTAGCCCCAGCTGTCCTGGAACTCACTATGTAGACCAGACTGGCCTCAAACTCACAGAGATCCACCTGCCTCTGCCTCCCAAGTGCTGGGATTAAAGGCGTGCGCCACCACACCTGGCCCTAGATTATTATATGTATTAGAAAATCTATCTGGTTTGTCAGATTTTACTCATCAAAGCTAGTTGTCTATTTTCTCCCACCTCTTTTTAAACAGAGACTTAATAAATAATACTATCTGAGCTTCTTGATGAGAAAGTGTAAGAGGTCCATGTTCCTTTGTAGATGTTGACATATTTTTTTTCTTTAGTGTCTGGTGAAGGTTCATGGGTCAAACTCAATGTGCAACAGAAATATGACTACTATTACAACATTGATTCCAAGGAAGGTTCCTGGATCCCACCCGAATCAAGCTTGCATAAAGAATCATGGCTCACTGGGCAAGAAATTGAGGTAGGAAGTTGGTGTTTGATGGACAGTTGTTCTGTATACAGTAGATGTGATTGCTTTTCTCTTCTTCATCATGTAAGTGATAGAAGGAACTCACTGACTGATTTGAAGACTGGGCAGGGAATAGTCTTCATGAACTGCTGTTGAATATAGCTGCCTTAATGTTTTACATATTGGCACAACCAAACCGAACCAAACAAGGGGAGTAAGGGGGAGAAAATGTTTGTAGCTCATTTGAGATGCAAAGTTATCCTAAGTTTTTCTTGACAAAGTTAAGTTTGACTACTAATAATTTCTGGGTTGTCTTATGCCTTATTTCTTTCCTTTCCTCCTCAGCCTACCTAATATGAGAACATTCTAAGCAAAGTGTCATTTTTCACGGGAAGTCCTAGAATGGGCATCTCTGGCACAGATGAGCCCAACCACCCACAAGATAGCTTTAGGAGCAGACAGTGGGGTGGGACAAAGAACAGGATGGGTAAACATCAAGTGGTTGCTTCTCTGCCATGGTTGTCTTGACATGTTTTCATTGTTTGATGTCAGTTTCACAAGCTTTGCATGTTCCAATGTCCAAATGTAATAGAAAGCAGCACAGCTGAGTATGTGTTCTTATACATGATTTTTGATTAAAGTCATGTGTCCATATATTGCACTGACCAAATTTTAAACATGATATAGTGATCTCATTTTTATTTTACATCTAACGATCTCTTTTAATGAATTCTCAACCCATATTTGAAAGTTTTGATTGACCGGATTTTACTTACCAAAAACAATTTCTCCATTCTCTCCTATCCCTTTTTAGTCAAAGACCTATATGTAATATAGTACCTATCTAAGCTTGATAGGGACAAAGAAACAATGCGTGGATTAATGCATAAAGCATTGCTGTTGTCTGTTAGAACATTTATATATTAAGTATAGGAAGAAGAAGCCCATTTAGAGGTGTCTGTGTCCCATTCATTGTTCAAATGCTCTTTCCCCTTGTTTGGAACACTGGCCTAAGTCTTGGGGCATCGGTGCTTTCTCCTGTCTGCCAGATCCATCCTAATCTGAATTCCTTCCCAAATATTCAGTAGTATTTTTATATATACAAGAACTCAGTTCTAAGCATTTACAAAGAAAGAAGAAAACCAACTTTAGAGTGAAGCTATAGAGAAAGTTGATCCAAAACTTCCTTTTCAGACTCCATTCTAAGTCATTTAATTTCACTCCTTTTTTTCAGTTCTACCTTTTTATTTGAAGGTGGCGTGGGGGGAGCCGCTTAGCAGATAGTGGCCTCTCTGTGACCATGGCTGTATTAGATCTGAATGTTTATTTTTTAGAGCATAGAAATAAAGAACCAAATAAGCCCTAGACATGCCAAAATAGCCTTTTCTGCGTGGTCTTCATGTTGTGGAAAGTTGGTGTGGACCAATGAAGAATAGGAATGTGTGAAGTCAGAAGAATGTGAAATCGGAACCAACCTTTGTAAGATGTCTGAAGCAAGTTACAGCCAGAAGTGGTCTTTCCTGAGTGCCCACAAGTGCCTAAAGAATGTACAGCACCACAAATAAGGTCTTCTGACAGCACAAGCATATCAGCTCCATAAATCCTCCTCCAAGCGGAAGTAGAGCATATAATATCATCTTCCATTTTTCTAGGTGTGGGAACTGAGGCACAGAGTGGAAGAAGCCACTTGTATTAATTCTACAGCTTATAAGCATTCATCAATAATAAACAAAGGTTTAGTCCCAGGACTTCCAGTTTCTAGTCTCATTTGTCCACTCTTTGGCACTGGCACTATTTTTGCTGCAGCCACCAGTATCTCTGAGTGTTATGTCATGTGCCCATTACTCTGGAGTTAATAATACTAGAAACAGGCTTATTCTGACAGATGATGAGTACTGCTTCCTAGGGGAAAATACCATGAAGGAATGTTCACCAAGATTGCTTTGAGCTCAAGACCAGAAGTTGAACTCAAAAGATGAGAATTGGTGATGAATTCAGGTATTATACTTACGAGAAAATATTGAAAATAATTGTTCTATCTTGGAGAAGAAAAAGACAACACATAGATATAGATTATGTAAGTATCATTAAAAATCAGTTGCCTCAGGCTGGAGAGACAGCTCAGCAGTTAAGAGCATTGACTGCCCTTGCAGAGGACCCAGGTTCAAATCCCAGCATCCTCATGGCACCTAACAACCATCCTCAACTCCAGTTTCAGGGGATCCGAGACCCTCTTCTGGCCTCTTCAGGCATTGCATACATGTAAGCAACACATTCAAACATTCATATACATAAAAATAAAAATCAGATGTCTCAGAGATGCTGCAGTGTAGCAATCTGTGCTACAAATGAGAGAAGACCTGTGACCTGAATCTGACAATGTTTAATGATGAAACTGCTAAATGAAAAGAAGAAAAAAGCCAGATGTGGTAGTACACACCTTTAATCCCAGCACTGGGGAGGCAGAAGCAGGCAGAGCTCTGTGAGTTCAAGGCCAGCCTGGGGCTACAGGGAGACCCTGTCTCAAAAAGACCAAAAAAAAAAAAAATAGCAAGAGCTGGAGGGGCCTGAAGGGGCCTGGTTAAAGGAAAGAAAGAAAGGAAAAAGAAAGAGAAAGAAAGAAAGAAAAGAAAGAAAGAAAGAAAGAAAGAAAGAAAGAAAGAAAGAAAACTGAAGAGCATAGTTTATTAACTAATTTCAGATGTTCAAAGTCCTTACAAGTTTTAGGCAGAAAATATTAGAGCAATGACTTATTAGTGCTGATTTTAAAATCAAAAACCTCTAGCCAGGCGTGGTGGCACACACCTTTAATCCCAGCACTCAGGAGGCAGAGGCAGGCAGATCTCTGTGAGTTCAAGGCCAGCCTGGTCTACATAGTGAGTTCCAGGACAGCTAGGGCTACAGGGAGACCCTGTCTCAAAAAAAAAAAAAAAAACCAAAAACACAAAACGAAACAAAACCCTCATATGTCATGATCATGATTGAAAATATATATCAAACTGTGAAGAAACAGCATTAAAGAACTAAAAAGTAGGATAAAAATGGCTCATCTGACATCCAAAGATGCCCAAATGCAACTTTTTGGCACATGGAATATCATTCTATTTGAATTGTTTAATAGTGGTAGTTCTCATCCTTTTTAAAAAATAATAATGTGGGGCTTGAGAGATAGTTCAAAAGCAGTTAAGAGCTTTGGCTGATCTTACAGAGGATCCAGGTTCAGTTCCCAGCACCTACATGGCAGCTAACAACTGTCTGTAACTCCAGTTCCAGGGGATGCCCTCTTCTGGTCTCCACATGCAAGTGGTACACTTACATACATGCAGGCAGAACACTCATACACAAATAAAACTTTTTTATAATAAAAAAAACCCTGAAGTTATTGGTCTTACTCAGTGCATATGTATACATATGTCTTCTCTTGAAAATCATTATGCACTTTTAAATGATTTTACTTTTGGCTCCTTAAATTAACCAGGTTTTGGTTACAGTGTACTAGAAAAGTCTTCAGCCATAGAAATGAATCCAGTCTTTGCTTGCATCTACCAGTGTGAAAGTAAACCCAATGCTATACCCCGTGAAAACTTCTCCTAGTACTTTTTTTTTTATTCCTTTAGGCTTCCTGCCTGTCCTTGATAACATCTGTCTTTCTTCTCTCTCCCACTTACTTTCCTTCTGCCTCAAGCATTTGATTTCCCTTGGAACATCTTTTGGGGTTGAGGAAGAGTGGAAAGAGGGATTTGAGGACTTCATGGGTCCTGCCATCCCACCTGCCCCAGCAGCCTGGGGGAAAGGGTAGGCAATACCAGTTCTTAGAGTTGTTGGCCTTCACCCTTTTACAGTCCGTGAAGCTCAGGCCAACACCATCTGGGATCATTCCACACCTTCTTAGGCCACCTTACCAATCTGATTCATCCCTCGGCTCTTGTTAAATCTGTAATTAAACCAAGTCAAAACAACAACAAAAACAACTATCCGTTTCATTTCCTAAAACCTGCAGTTTCCAGACACTGTTCTTTATGCTCTTTTCACCTGATGTATGAAGAGTAACCATACAACGTATCTCTTGCCAGGACATCATTGGGGACGTCACCTCACATTACATCCAGGAGAACTTGTGGTCTGCCTCGGAAGAGTTGCTTCTCCGCTTTCAAGACACAAGCCTAGGACCCATCCTTAGGGAAGAGTTTGAAGCTAGGAAATTATTCTTAAATGAACAAGTAGACAATGTGGTCAAAATACAGGTATGTAAAACACCTACCACAGTTACAGCAAACTATCCTGTCCTCTGAAAATGCTTTCTTTGAAAATAGCACAGTCAACTACCAGCATTCTAATGACAATGCTGACTGCAGGCTTTCCCCTAACCAATGCCCCCTGTTCCTCTTTAGTAAGACTTTAAGATGAGGACTGTCTTAGTGATGAATTATGTTAACCTGCAGCCTCCTGAAGAGTTTCTGAGAGCTCATAGACTTGCTTACATCTACCTGCCATCAGCACATTTGGAGCCAAATGAACACCTCAGATCAGGGCTGAAACCATGCTTTTTTGAACAGCCACATCTCCGTATGTCCATCTCCCGCCCAACTTGGGCATTTAGGGGTTAGTGGGTAGTCATTGACATCTTGCTTCTTCTAGCCTGAAAGGATAGAAAAAAACCAATAACCCAAAATACATTTAGCGTCTCCAGGAGTCTTTTCCCTTGTCTAATCTGTCACTCTCCATTTAGGCCTGCCATTGAAATTCTCCATCATTCAAAAAAATTGCCATTCAATAACAAATGCGTGACTTGAGCTTTTTGGTGGGGAGGAAAGGAACTTGCCAATTTAGATGGTTCTCCTGTGTTCTTGTATCACCCTCTCTACCCACCATCTCGCTGTCTTCCAGAGGTCTGCCTATGTGCCCTTTTCTTATGACTCTAACATGATCATGTTACTGATTGGCAGAGCTGGATGAACTTTGCTTCAGCCAATATCTATGAGATTTCCTAAACTGAAGATTTCTCAGTTGAAGAGCTATGTGGCCACTGGCGCACTTGCTTGCTTTCCCTACCTTGCTTTTATGTTATTTGAGGCAGAGGATGAGCTTTTAAACTTGGTCTTCTTGTATCTTGCATATGATAAGTGTCCATGTATTTTATTTACTCAAAATGTTAGCAGGATCAAAATAAATTTTTCTTTAAAAAAAATAAATCTCTACTATAGACCCAACACTCACCTTTTTCTGTGGTAAGTTTCTAATTGAGTTTCTAATTTATTTCAAATTGTTCCAGCTCATATGTTGCAACCAAAAGTTTAAACATAGAATCATCTACACCAATAAATGCTGAAGCTCTAATTTTGAACAAAATCCAAAGTGTCAGCCAATGTCATCCAATTTGGACTAGCCCTATGCTGCTCTCCAGTCTGAGGTCACAAGAGGACTGGGAAAGGATGGAAATAGTCATGTGAGCTAGGTGCAGTGGCACACTCCTTTAATCCCAGAACTCAGGAGGCAGAAGCAGGCAGATCTCTGTAAAATCAAGGCTAGTGTGGTCTGTATAGCTAATTCCAGGCCAGCTGGGGCTACAGGAAGACCCTGTCTCAAAAAATTAAAGAAAAAGGAGTGAATCGTGTGGGGCCTTGCCCCTCTGCCTCAGCAGAGGCTCCAGGTTGAAGAACAGGTCATCAAACTCCGAACTCACTCACCATGCTTTTATTCCATCTGTCTGACAGTTTTCTAACAAAGAAGGCATGAGGTCTAAAAGTAAGCCGATTTCACATGTGTGGCCTTAGAAGTACTGTCCCATAACCTTCCAACATAAAAACCAGAACACAAGAAGCTGAAGGACGTCATGCTAAATCTCATTTCTCACCAAAGTGACTGATAGATGCCGATTAGAGAGACCCCTGAGGACTTCCCCCTGTATAGAACAGCTCAAGTTTTACAGCCAACCTCATTGGCCCCAGACACATAGTCTCAACAACTTTGGAGGGAAATAGAGCAAATCCCCTCAATTCAGGTCAACCAGACTGTGCTGGATAGCTTTAGTGTCAACTTGACACACCTGGGTTGAGGGAGCCTCAATCGGGAAATTGCCTCTATTGGACTGGCCTGTGGCCATGTCTGAAGGGCATCTTCTTGATGAGTGATGTGGGAGGGCCCAGCCCACTGTGGGTGGTGCCACCCCTGGGCAGGTGGGCCTGTATTGCATAAGAAAGCAGGCTGAGCAGGGGCCAAAGGAGCAAGCCTGTAAGCAGCGTTCCTCCATGGCCTGTGCTCCAGCTCCTGCCTCCAGATTCCTGCCCTGAGTTCCTACCTTGGGCTCCCTGATGAACTGCGTGCGACCTGGGAGATGTAAGACAAATAAATCCTTTCCTCCCCAAGTTGGTACTGGTCAGAGTGTTTTGTCACAGCAATGAAGAACAAACTAAGACACAGACCTAGGTTCTGCCCTCCTTACCCTCAGTCCCCTGTTGAGGAATCGTACAGTAGTGATACAGCAAATGTGTGCAGTCAACACGTAGCCATCCAAGTGCTAATGGAGTTTATCAGAAGGTGCCAGCACAACATGAGGGAAGTCACAGGGAATCTATACAGCCTATTTTGTTTTTTAATTTTATTTTATTTTTATTTTGCTTTGTTTTGCAGTGCTAGCAATTGAGCCCAGTGCCTTGTGTATACTAGACAAGTGCTTGGAGCTACACCCTGGTCCAGCTAAACTGTTTTAGAACAATTACAAGACCCTAATAAAATTGCTTATGGTTGGGAGTATGCCTGTGACAGACTGTTTTCCTGACATTCATGAGGTCCTGGATTCAGTCCCCAACATTCACAAGTCATGAGTTTGAGAGTGAGTGAGCCGGAAAAAGTTATCATAAGTAAAAAGGAAATTTTATTTATGTAAAAAAATACAAAAAGGAATACAATTTGGGAAACATAAATGACATAAACACTTCAGAATACTCGTCCAGGATTTTTATACTGAAATTCTTGAGGAACTGAATAAGACATGGGCTTAGTAAAACAGAAAAATATGAAAAAATAAGTAACAAACATGGAAGATTAAGAGAAATTGTGGCGTAATAGAGTGTAAATGAACCTGCAGCTTCAGAATGAAAAGTGGACAGCTGAGAAAACAGATGATGTAAGATGCATTTCCTAATGTAAAAATTCTAATGTCCAGGGTTGGGGATTTAGCTCAGTGGTACAGCGCTTGCTTGGGTTTGGTCCTCAGCTCCAGGAAAAAAAAAAAATTCTAATGCCCATGCCAGGACACCTTTAATCTCCTAATAATATTGAATCATTACTCCACGGAACAAATAATGCTGACAAGGAAAAAGGGGGCCTCCTTGTTAAATAATCTGTTAATGCAATAGATTAGTTATTTATAATGCTGTGAATCTGAGTTAATAGAGATGATATTCCTGGAGTTTAGATGATTCTAGAAAAGCAGAATGAGAACTTGAGCTAATGTCAGTATCTATTTTTGCTATGGGTATGATTGAAGGAATAGAGTATATATGTTCATATAATTGTACTTCATGCTGCCCACCAAATATATGAACCATTAAAGGCCATCATGAGTGTGTTATGCTGTACTGCTGTGGAATCCCAGCAATCTGAACATTAGGATCCACTTCCCTAGTCTCCACCATATTGTCGAGCCACTTGTATAAACAGTTGTTGATGTCCTAAGATAGTACTTTCTTCTCTCATCTCAGAAGTGCCACACTACAATGAATCCCGTGCTTGCATTTTCTAGGTGGATATTTGATTAAGAATCCTTTAGCTGTTGTTTTGTGTCTCCCCTACTCATAGTGTGGGCCACATTCCGGCGAGGTCATTGCCTGGAAGCTTGTTAGACATGCAGAATCTCAAGCCCCACTAGAGACTTGTTGAATCCCAGTCTGTGTGCTAGCAGGATCCTCAGGTGCTTTTGTGTGCACTTCCAAGTTTGAGAAGCACTACTAAGATCATTCCTGCAGTTTCATTTTCCTATATAAAAGCTCATCTTCACCATGGAAGCTTAAAGGAGAAAATTTCAGTATTTGTCTTTTTATGTACACACATGCACAACGGTAGCACTCTGCAAGATAACAAAAGTGGCAGACTGGCTAGGAAAACTCAGGATTCAAGAAATAACACAGTAATTTCATGGGGTTGTGCACACTTGCCGTCCAGCACGAGGGAGACTATGGCAGTAAGAGCAAATGTGTGGGGCCAGTCTGAGCTACATAACAAGAGTGAACAAACAAGTGACATGTGATGTATTATTTAGGTTTTATTTTTCTGCCTCATAAATTCCAAACTTGGCACTGAAGAAGCCTAGCAACCCAGAAATACCAGTGGGCACAAGGCAAAAACCAGCCTTGATGACAGCCATCTCTCCTAATATTGACTCATTAGTCCATGGAACAAATAAATAGCCAAAGGACCAAAAAAGAGACAACCTAGAAAAACAGCAACCTTCTGACAATAACTGCTCCACTCGAGCCAGACACCACAGAGAAAATTGTTGCAACCATCCCATACATGAGACAAAGTCTAAGTAGAGCCTGAACTTCCCTCCTGGACTAGGAAAAATCACCCAAACACCTATAGCACCTAGACTTCATTCCTACTGAGCAGTAGAAAGACAACCTTCACTCTCCTGCTAGCACAGTGTCAAAGAAGGAAGGTAGGAAGTCAGGACTTTCACACCACCCTGCCACCTGGTCAATGGGGTCCACATGGTGAGTATGAAGAGGGTTCCCACTGCCAGACACAGTGCTGTCAGCCACCGCGGGTTCTGGAGTTCCCGATGTCACTCAGCAGTACTGTGGAGCCCTGCCCCACCCACCTCAGGTGTCAATAAAGGCCACGTGGAAAGCCTCTACCTCCACTAGACAGCACCCCCTTCCCTTTAGAAAAAGCTACCTGAAACTGAAGGGTCCAGTAAGATCCAGCATGTCGTCTAAATTGTCCCAAGTTTAGGGACTAACAAGATGGCTCAGCAGGAAAAGGCACTTGCCAACAAGCCTGAAAACCGGAGTTTGATCTCAGAACCCATATGGTGGAAGGAGAGAACCAACCAGTGCAAGTTGTCCTCTGACCTCTTCACATGTACCATAGTAATCTCCTGGTAATCTCCTACACACACGCACACACACACACACAAAGTCAAGGTTTTGTGTGTGTGTTGCAAATTGTCCAAGTTTTCCTCTGTTGAACAACTTAGATATTTCAGTCACATCAATTATTTATCATTCTGAGAATGAAAAAA